CAGGTTATACATTACAGCAGCATTATAATTTATAATGCTTTTTGCCCTCCTCATAGAATACTGTTTTGTTATATGATGTAAGAAGTATTTCAAAAGATGTAAATAAGTTAAGAACTGAACATAGTTTTTTCATTAATTTTAAAATATGAAATTATGCTAAAGCTTCCAAAGCACAAATGCATATTTTTATACATCTCATTTTAATCACATGCAGAACATGAGTTCAGATTTTAAACTATTCTCAGAATATTTGGTTAATATATCCTAAGAAAACTGCTGATTTTTAACACTGTGCACTCCGGGCTGCAGTTATGAGTTAGATTAGAAGCTGTGACTTTAGTTAAGGAGGTAATAATACATTGCTTATCAGAAATAAAGGATTTGGGACAAGTTATTTATCCCTCTTGTGCTGTATCAGGAAGCAAACCAGGTAAAAAGAAAATGGGCTAAGATAGCAGTGGAACAAAACTGACCATGATTGCAGTTTCCTGCAGGTAGCTTACATAATGTGCCAACCTTTTTTCTATGTTTTGTACCAAGTTATGTAAACAAATACAAACATTCATAAAATTTACGTGCAGAGAAATGTATATAAGCTATATTTTTGTTAGAATTGTAATAGAACCTTACTTTTGTCACAGCTAAGGCAGTTTGCTCTGTATAATAATGCTGCATTGTGTATATATGAAGAATGGTGTTTTTTGGTGAAGTGTCTATATTCATTATTTCTATATGTACCACTATCAAGTTCTAGTTACATTTTTTTCAATGGATTTCTATTCAAATAAGTTGACCTCCAGTTTTTCTACTATAAAATATTTGCTTTTCTCATTCCTTGATATCAGAGCAAACCTTCTGTTAATAATTGTACCTTGAACCAAATCTACTAAAGACTGAACTCTGATTGCAGCTAATGTTAGAGGAAAGGGAGAAAGACCTGTCATGTTTTCAAAGCTGTCATTTTAACTTAATTTGTTAAACACAATATTAGTTGTAAAACAAAGATGTAAAGCATTTATTTTAATTTACTATCAGAGTTTGAAGTGGGTATCAAATTTGGTAACAGTGATGTGGGAAATGTTATCTGCACAAGGAACCTAAAAAATAAAGCTCGTCCTTCAGTTCTGTTCATCATCTACAGCTTTAATTTGAAGTCAGTATTAGTTTTAAGACAGCACTATTTCCCCAGCCAGTGACTACCTTGTCCAGCCTCAATTTCTGTTTAATTGGAGTAGAAATAGACCTAGGTCAATAAAAGCCTTAGAGAGCCCTCTTAGAGCACAAAACCTGCAGGCATTAGTCTCAACAAGCCCGCTTGCCAAGGCTCTCTAAACTTCTTAAAGCCACAAAGTAACCTACAGATCCTCTTGTTCCATGCTGGTGCTATTTCAGAGGTGCTTCTGTTTACATTCCTATTAAAATAAAATGCTTTCCTCTGGTAATTGCCATTAATATTTAACACAAAGGCATTACCAAAAAAATCTGTATCTTCGCAAGGCCGACACATGAAAAAACTAATACTGTCAGCTGAAAACATGTATAGGAATGAAGCTTCAGATTTTGTCAGCCTAACTAAATCCTACCCAACTTAGTCCTCAGCAGTTAATGTTGTAAGAATTCATATTTTAAACTCTTAACAGAAGCATGCTCTAAAATCATATCACATCCATCCTCATTGTATTTACTATCACCTCCAAAACTAATGGCAATGCACAGAAAGCCTGCATCATTTGGGTTCTATTTAACACCCCCAACAATTCAGGCAGCTCTGCAAGAAGAGTGTCTTGCAAAGGGAGTCTATTAGAGACAATTTAGCCATTTAAATGTCAAACCAGGAATAACGGCATTTTTTTTATTAGTATAAAATATACTTTAAAATTCAAGAATATTCAAGGCTGCATTACATTCTTGTAAAATGCACAATGAGTTTAGTGAACAGAAGTGTTCAGTTAAATAGATCTATTTCTCTATCAGGTATTCATTTAAGAGCACTCACAAAGAATGAAACAATTTTCATGGTACAGGAAGAAAAGGATAATAGAAAGATGCTCACTCGTGCTCCCCATCTTAGAAAAATGACATGATAACAAGAGCCTCTGAAAAAAATTAACTGTTTCTCAGTTTCTCTTCATGATTTAGTGATATATATAGAGAGGTACGTCACTGCTTTCCTGGGAAAAGCTGATCACTGAAATACTTTTTTCTAGGTCCAAACTGAAAAATAAGCCCAAGAAATATGTTGCCAGTCTTCTGAATACCATGCCTTTTCTGAAGGAATTGTAAATATCTGCTCTAATGGAAACAGATGCAACATACTTGCTGCTTATGAACACATTTATATAGCGCAGGGGTGGGCAAAATGGTAGATTCCCTTTTCCAGATTCCATTTCCCAGCAGCCTCTGCCCACGTCGCTGCCACCAATTTCCATGGAGAACTCAGCAGCAGTGGGGCCACGACAGTGTGGGGCCAGAGTTTCCATGGAGATGGCCCCAGCAGTGCTGGCAGGGCCCACGGCTGTCGGGAGCTGCTCTGGGGCCAGGGCTGGGATCTTACAGTGGTGACAGAGTGATCTCGAGCCAGAGCAGAGCCACAATCCACTGCCTGAACCCCCTGCCCGCCGTTCTGATGTGGGCAGAGACTGCTGGGAAATGGAATCTGCTGTGGGCCCAATCCGGCCTAGAATACCCTTAGAATACCTAAATTATGGCAACAGACCCATGTAATAGATCTATTAAAGCTAGGGAAGGAAGCCTCTGGCCCAGAGAATTTTAAGCCAGTGTCACTTCTGTGTTACCTTTATAAGCTTCACAAATGCCTTATTCTCAGTCGCCTGTCACTTCATATTGAACAACATCTAATATCAGAACGAGCCAGATTTAGACCAGTCCTGCGCTGGCCAAATACTAAACATCACATAGCACCAGTTATCATCCCTTTCTTGAATCCATCTTCTGTGTGCTGTGTCTGTAGACCGATCAGCAGCATACAACACAGTCATCAAAAGCCATCAAAACCTGCTAGCCAAAGTCTACAATATGCTGATGCAAGACTACAACCTCATGCAGCTCATCTGATCTCTTTTGGAAAACATGTTTTTACGTAGAACTATGCAAGAAACAGAGCCGCTGGAGACAACAAGAAAATGGCCTCCCACAGGGGAGCATGCTAGGATTGATCCTTATTAACACATATACTAATGACCAACCCATACAGAATAATACAAGGTCCTTCATATATGCTGATGATCTATGCATCACATAGCAAGAGAAGGATTTCACCACTGTTGAGAACAAACTGACTTGTGCACTGAGCAACCCTCAGATTACTACAAGAACCAGCTTTGTGCCAACCCAACCAAGACAGAGGTCACAGCTTTTCACCTATGCCATAGAAAAAAGCCAAGTAGAAATTAAATATTACCTGGGATTGAATCCCACTGACTAATCACCCGAACCCTGTGCACTTCAGGGTTACACTGGACTGAACACTTAGCTTCAAAGCACATGTAGAGAAGACAAAGGGAAAATCCACACCTGTAACAACATACTTCGAAAGTTGGTCACCTCAAAGTGGGGAGCAAACAAATTACATTACGAATCACTGCTATCGCCTTGTGTTACTCCACTGCAAAGTATGCATGTCCAGTATGGGAGCAATCAGTTCATGCCAAGAAAACAGACCCAGTTCTAAATGACAGCTGTCATGAAATAACAGGATGTCTAAAGCCAACACCAAAAGATAGCCTGTGCTTACTGGCTGGCATTGCACCACCTGAGATTAGAAGAAAGGTAGCAAGCCAAAAAGAAAGATAATGGCAGATAGAAGACCTTGGGCATCCACACTATGGTCACAGAGAAGTAACTAAAGGGCTTCAAATACAAAATAATGTTATGATTAGCATTGCACTGTTGGAAACGACAGCTGACAGGTATGACTAAGGTTATGGAAAGAAAGATTACATGCAATCAAATGCTCTGAAATGGACCTGGAACCCCAGGAAGATCTTCCAAGAGGGGCAGATCCAGACTGGCCAATATGGCAATGCCTGAATCACCTGCATGTGCAAACTGGAATATCAAAAACAAACATGACCAAATGGGGCTACACTAATGACACATATATGCAAATGCAGTGAAATATATGCGAGTGTGGTTTCATAGTTGGTAGGGTCGGAAGGGACCTAAGCAGATCATCAAGTCCGACCCCCTGCCATGGGCAAGAAAGGATGCTGGGGTCAAATGACCCCGGCTAGGTGTCTATCTAGCCTCCTTTTGAAGACCCCCAGGGTAGGATTGAGGACTACTTCCCTTGGAAGTTGGTTCCAGATCCTAGCCACCCTGACTGTGACGGTTAAGCAAGGGAAGTTTAGGTTAGATATTAGGAAAAACTTTCTCACTATAAGTGTAGTAAAGCATTGGAACAGGTTACCCAGAGAGGTGGTGGAATCTCCATCCTTGGAGGTTTTTAAGACCTGGATAGACAAAGCCTTGGCTGGGAAGATCTAGTTAGGGATGGTCCTGCTTTGAGCAGGGGGTTGGACTAGATGACCCCCTGAGGTCTCTTCCAACCCTCATTTTCTATAATTCTAAGTGCAGACTATAGAGTACGCTCATTTGCTGACTGTTTGGCGAGATCTGTACAAAGGAGGACCTTGCTGCAGCAATGGAAAGAGCTACTGCTTGTGCACAATTCTGGAAAAACATCTTGTTTACAACAGGGACATAATAAGAAGTAGTCATTTAGAGAACAAGCATACCTGCCAAGTTTGCTGATGCTAGGACACTATAGTTTCAAATATGAAAAAACTCATATATGTCTGTTTAGCACAATAGTAATTAATGCTAGAAATGGAAAAAATACTTATTTTATTGTCTGGCATTTCAAAGGTAAGTTCTATTATACAGTTATTTCTCAACATTTAGGATTTGTTAAATAGTTCAAATTTCCTTTTACATTCATACTTAATACACACCCAGAGCATGCAAGGCTTAGCCCTTACCAATCAACTTAGAACCTAAGTTGCAAATCACCATTTTGCTCTAGTTTCTGAAATAATGTCAGACTGCGCAGCTGAGACTCTCTCTCTCCATCTTTCCACAAAATAATCAGATGGTCAACAGAGCACGTCACCAGTCCAAGTTCACCAAAGAACAGGAACATCTGCAATGGAAACCATTAATATTACCCTGCTGCATATGTAGGTTTTAGGCAAAATCATTTACATTCAGCGTACAGCAAAAGATAACAGAAAGAATGTCTGAGACAGGTAAGCTGAGACACAACAATATTTTAATTCAAATAGTGTAACTCCCTAATATAGAGAACAATGCAGAACTGTGAAATCTCTATGCTATACATAAGTTATACCATTAAAATGTTAGTCACATATCCAAAACTTCTGTGCAACAGAAATTCTTTTATCAACTAAGTGTTGTAACAAAAGTAGGTAAAGAGAATATTTTACAGCTAGGGAAACTGAGTGCAGAAACGTACAGCAACCTGCCCAAGACTACCCAGCCGGACAGTAGCAGGCTCCTGAATTCCAATCCAGCTCTCTATTCACTAAGCCAGGGCTGTCAACCGGGGGTACACATACCCCCAGGGATACTTAGAAAGGTGCTAGGAGCTACACATGGGCAGATGGGGACAGAGCACCACCACGCACCACCCTGCGCTGCCACCTCCCAGAAGCAGGGCTAGAAGTGGGAGCAGAGGATAGTGGCTCCCCTCTGTGGGCCAAATAGGCACTGCCAGCTGGCTGGATGCGCAGTGGGGGGGTGGGGAATGGGGGGAACCTTGTCTTATAGTCAAGTAAATACAGTATGTTCCCAACTACTGAAACACCATCCTCTACAGGGGTTTCCAACATTGTTAGGCTAAGGACCAGCAAACCGCAGACCAGAAGTGACCATGGAATGGCAAGCTGACGACCGGAAGTGACCATGGACTGGCAACTGATAGACCAGCAGTGACCGGCATACTGTGGGCAGGTAGCCAACCCTTTTTTATACTCAGTCGAAAAAACTGTTATAAAAATACTGTTTAAAATACTGCACAGTATAAAAATACTGTTTATGCTCAGTATAAAAAGGTTGGCTGCCTGTCTGCAGTATGCCAGTCACTTCCAGCCCACGGTTTGCCAGTCTACAGTCACTTCTGGTCCGGCAGCCAGCCCTCCTGCAGCCTGGCACTGGGCCGGGGCCCCAGGTGTTGGGGACCGGCTTCCTATGCCTGCAACAGAAAGGAGGACCAGTTAGATAAATGGGGAATTCTCCACCCACAGCACTGATAGCTTCATGATGTTCAGTTTTACATATTTAGTCTTGATGATATATATGGGATTAACTAGATGCATCTAGCTAGGTGTTCTACCCATGAGACTGTCGGGAAGGACTGAGTCATAGGCACTCTGGCCTAATGAGTAAGCCAACAGGGGAGGGCTAGAAACAAGTGCTGGGGGACCCAGAGCCACACTAGGCAGCAGAAGCTTGAGTCCAAGTTACCAAACATGAGGGGGAATTCCAATAGCAGAGTCCAAGTCACCAGCTGAATGAGGGGCTAAGTTACCAAAACAGAGCATGAGATCCAGAGTGGCTTACCACAGCATTGGCTGCAATCTGTTACACAGCTAGACTTACATGGGAAGGCTGCTCTCCCCAGCAACCAATCAGGAGGCCCTAACAGTGGTCAGTCAAATGGTTCATCAGCCAGGATTAGGCTGCTAGTTAAGAGGCCTGGCAGGTTTGGCCAAGTGGGCAGTGGCTGCCTGCTAGCCCCCCAGAGAATTTCCTTCTTACACTGAAGTTATATAGAACAAAACAAATGTTCTTTATTGGTGTCCCTCAGACTGAAAAACACCAAAGATGGGGTAGGAGAAAATACTCTTTAATATCAATCACTACCCTTTTGCTGACCAGAAAGCAGTATCTATCTAAACATGCAGGTGTGAGATGACATACTGTGCATTTTAAGGACACATTTTTCAACTGAAAGTACTGTATAAATATAACATAAATGTTTCTCTAAAGGCTTCTGTTGGACATGGCAAAAAAGAATGCCATACACCTTGCAGAACAGAAAAGCAACAAGACTACTGGTCAGGTTTACTTACTATGTACCCCCTATCTAGGCAGCAGACTGAGGATGGAACCAGAGATCTAGGCCTCCAAGTTCCTAGCTCCAGCTTCTGCAGTCAGCTAAGGACTCAAGTAAAGGCTATTTGTAAGTAGCCTTGTAACAAGAAAATTTTCTGTGGCTTCTATCTACACACCTCTTCCACGCACCTACAAGTGTTCTAAATCTAACCTAGACTTCAGCCAGCTGATACATTTCTCACACATTACACTAAGTACATTGAAAAACACACCCAGCCATTATGCTGGCTTTTAACAATTTTCTTAAGCACCGTGCTGGAAACCCAGAAGAGTCAAAGCTCAGACTGCCCAGAAGAGTCAAAGCTCAGACAGCTCTGTCATGCCACCATCCCAAACTCCAATGCAGTCACAAACAAGGCATTTAAGAAGAAACATTCTCATACAGCAATAAAAGGAAATCCCTATGTTGCTGTTCTACCCAAAGCCAACATACCTGCACAGCTGATGAGTGACCAATCAGGTCACCAATAAGCTCCAAGGAATACAAAGTCAAACTTTCTTGAGTCTTTTTGGCACTTTGGTTTGCTTGCTTGTTGGCCCTTCCAAATCCCCACATGTTGAAAAAGCCTGGAAAAGACACAGCAGAGTTAATCCTCCTTTTTACAGTGGCAAAGTCACATATTAATGCCTGATTAGATAAAAATGATTTATTTTGATCTAGCCAGAGAGGGTTTTTGGGGGATGCTGTCACTTAAACAAATGACACATATTTACAATTTGAGAAATAAAATAGAAATTTGCAGAAAAACGTATCTATGTTATGACCAAATATTCCTTAAACCAGGGGTAAGTGAAGCATTAGATACTGTGATTCCCTTACCAGGAGAAGTTTAATTACCCACCTAGCTTGTAACTGAGATAACAAAAAGAAGAACTTTTTGCAGAAAGATAAACTGCACAAATAAACTAATTGGACAAAGGTGAGTAGAACATTGCTATTTAACTCTGCTTTGTTCTGAATAAATTGTTTGAACTGTTTGAACTGAAGGGAAAGGGGAAAAGAAGGTACTGAGCTCTCTCTCTGGTAAACTCCCTGCCAATGGTAACACAAGCTTTTGATGCCAACTTTCTGTTCATGTACTCTCCATCCATATGACACCCTTCAATCTAAAAGCTATGATCCAGAGGAACTAGAAGGCAAAAGTGGTCTTACCAACAGCATCTCCAAGACTGCTCATACTAACTGCTACTACCTGGACAATCAGACACAGCTAGCAATTCAAATCACAAACTTTAGTAACACAACAGACACACTCCATTCAGGACATAGAAGTAATCTCTAGAATGACAACCAGTCTGTTATCCAAGAAGATTCACAACCCACACTTTTTAAAAGAAAATCAGGTAGAGTGCATAACTGTCCTGACAGTTGGAAAGCCGAGCGTCATCTACATATACACTGGAGACAATACAGCCCCATACTTTTCCCACTAGCCCTTCTATTAGTCCTATAAATACAAAGTGAACAGACTGTAATTCTATATGAGAGAGATGCCAGAGCAGATGAACATTACTCTTTGGGGCTGGTCAGAAAGAAAAGAGAGACACTCAACAGCAATCCTATCCACCCACCTTTGGATATGGATTCATTTAACACATGCCTCCAATCTAAGGACCTAAAACCACATGTGACAAAGCCAAAACACAATCAAATCAACATTTTTTGTCATGGCTTATAAGATAATGGGAAGAGAGATGACAAATGAAAAAAATCAGTGAAAACTGCTTTAGCTGGAAGTAGTGAATTATGGTTTAATTGTATAAATTATGCTCATGAAGCTCCGTTCTGGTATAGGTGCTTTGGTGAACCATATATATCTTTTTATATCATTTTATTTAACCAAAAAACTTTGAAGACACAGACACACCTGTTGGAACAGGCTCAGCTGAAAGCTGCTGCTTTTCTCGTAGCTCCCAAATACGAAGACTGCCATCCTCTGAACATGATAGCAGCTGCCTGTCAAAACAAATGATGAATGTTACTGACACAGAACTAGGCTGGATACCTATCAGTACAAATCTACTTGTAATATTTCCTTTGTGGTTAAGCAAGTTCTTCAAGATACTACACACATTCCTTAAAAGTGCATCATAGTTGTTATTTAACAAGTGGAAGTCATTTCCACATGAATTTTGTAACAGGAAAAATTATACTTAGCTCAAGAAAATTTGTAAAACAGTGTAATTTGCAATCCCACATAACAGGTTTTAAATGTATTGCTTTATAAAAACAAATGTAAGCCTTGACCCTGAAAACACATGCATCTACATTGTCCAAGTGACTTCAGCAAGTTTACTCATGTTAAAAGTTAAACATGGCATAAGCCTGTGCAAGATTAAGGTTTTATTTTATCTTGTTAGACTACTTCCATATAGCAACAACAGAGAGAGTGGCATAGTTATAGAACTCTGTGGCAACCATTTAGCTCTATTTTGATGAATTTGTGACTCTGGTACAAAAATTAAATTCCTGCTAGAAACTTGGCACTAAAGGTCAAACCCTGGGAGTATTAGTTTTCTGTTTAATATTTTTTCATTAAATTCTTTCTGAACAACAAAAATTAGTAAATTCATTTGGAACGTATCCGGAGTGTGTTTTGATTTATTAGAGCCAAATGCTATACATAGTCTACAGTCATATTTCTATAACATAGACTAATTGTCCAACTAAACTTGAATATAAAAGTCAGTAAGTATTTAATGTGCCAGCAGTGTTCAGTGTATACTGGATTATGTTGTGCCACATCAAGTTATAAGGGTGCATTTCTGATATTTAAATCAATGCCTTCTATTCCCCCTAAAGACAGATCAAGCCATATCAAGTTCTCTGTGCTGTCTCAGAAGTTTAAATGTAGCTCTGCAGGCTGTCCCTGGCTGTCTTTGTGAGACCTGCATTTCTTGAGTACACTGCAACATTTACCATGACTAGTACCTGTTTGGAAGTTTTGCGATGTGCAGCACACTGGAGTCATGAGCTGTTCTCTGGCAGGCAATCACACGCTTCATTTGAAGATTATATACATATATTCCCTTCCCAACAGCTGCAAACACACACTGGAAAGAAAATTCAACAGAACATCTTACAGACACCGACATAAGTGTCATGCTGTCATGGATATCCAGTCATACTATGACATCATAAAGCCACTGTTACCTGGCTCATTCCTATCCCTCTGAACCTTTGTTATTGCACTACTGGCCTGTCTACAGCATACAAATGTCAACAAAAAAAACCCTGAGAAAAGGTTGGACATTCAGAAGATGAAAAGGCATCTGTTTAATGAGTAAGAGCATTTTCATATCACCACCCCCTAATTTTATACTGTACTGACTGTGGCAGTGTACTGTACTTCTTCTGTATAATGCAATTCAAACTAGCTATGGAAATACCAAAAGTTTACGAACTGTAACAAGTATTTCTTTTATGAAATATTTCTATTTAACACATTTTTAACTGACCATCATAACTGTAGTTTAAAAATACATGTATAGCGTTCTAAAAATAAGTTTAAAAATGCAAAGAGTCAAGGAGCTTGCATACAGAACCGAAACTAGAGTCATGGCACACAAATACTGCATGACTTCATATATCAGATATACTTTTTAAAGCCAAATTATTTCTTCGCAAAATGACCTGTCTAAAATTTGAAAGGGGAAGAAAAACACAAAGCCCTTATATGAACTCCAGAAGCTGTGTCCTTGTAAACGTGTCTTTATTTGATGTTTTATTTTGCTGCTTAAATTGAAAGTCAGAAAATGTGAGTGTCTCTTAAATTCAAGGGTATTTCATATTTAAAGGAATACAGTGAGTTTAAATATGCTAGTATGTGTTCACTATCAGCTCTGTCACAAACAGAATTCCATATGGAAAGAACTTCTCTTTTTCAGTGAAGTCTGGAAGCCTTTCAGGAAGGCAGGCTACTGTGCCAAATCACAGGGCTCTTATCTTAACTCTGGACCTGGGGAGGACAACATATTTAGATGACTTTTTGTCCTTGTTATTTTATATATTATTGCAGTTGTACCCAAAGGTCCAAATTAGGTATCTAGACTCCACTGAGCTGAGCACTTTATACAAAGGAAAATGGGCCCTGCCCCAATGGTGTTGCAAAAGCCTGGAAGCACCATCATATATAGTCATATAGGGCATTTTTACACGTGCTCTGGGAGGGAGGAGGAGAGGGTGCTTTAATTAGAGCAGCTCCGAGAGGTGCTCTAAAGTGCTTGGAGTATCTCTTGTATCAGTGTCCCCAGACTTCAAAATGGCAGCGGGAGAGCTTAATCTAAAGCTCATCACATGAGCTTTAGTAGAGTGCCCCCGCAGCCATTTTGAAGCAGGGGGGATGCTGATATACGAGATGAGGAGGCTAGCCAGAGCGCAGTAACTACCATGCTCCAGCAGACTTGATTAATCAAGTCAGCTCCAATGCGCTGTAATTACAGTGTGTTGGAACAGCCTCCCAGCTTGTGTGTAAACACCCATGTATCCTACACTAATATATTATCATAAACAGTAATTCTATTCCCTCAGCAGAGCATGCCGGGTGCTTTAGAATAACTTTCATCTGCTCCCAAAGCCAAGCTCAGCCAGTGAATTTAGTTCCTTCCCACTCACCCATTACCAGCTCTAAGTCTCTAACCCTCCTCCCATACCAAAAAAGAAACAGCCTGTGAATTGTCATGGTACTGCTCAGTATGAGAACAATTGCTTCTGATACCAGACCTCTGTCCCTAAAAAGAGAAGTGAAATGTTGGGCTTCTTTTCAAAGGGAAACTGAAATATGGGAGAACATTTACTCATTCTAGGCAGAGTATCTGCTACCTGACCGTTGTTCTCCAGATCATGAGCAGCTTCCATGTTGGGACCTTGGATAAGCAGATAGCAGTTTGGAATGATACCTTTCATACATTGCAACCATTTAGGTGGCAAGAACAGTGCACATTAAATTTTTGATTCTGCAAATCCAAGTGTAACTCTTTTAAACATCACAGTTGCAAAATGCTCTTGTTCAAGGGTGGAAGAGTTTTGTTCTTCCAGGAGTAATCTTTTACTTAGGCACACTACTGGTTATCTACCTCCACATCATCCCCTTGCATCAGCACTGGTTTGCACCACAAGCTGTTTTCACAAGTGGGGTCTGCTAACTCTGGGTTCTTGGTTGAGATTTCTTTCAAGCATGCAAAGGTACTCTAACAGACATTGATCCTTTCTATTTGCTCAGGCTTTCATTTCTCATGCAGATCCAGAATGGAAACTGGGATAATACTAAAAGGAGGTACAAACCACTACTAGCAGTGCACCAGCTGGCCATGGAGACTGAGCTTAGAATTAATTTTAGGTGATGGTTAGAGGCATAGCCAGCTCTTTCAGAGTCCAAGCCAAAGATGGGGGTGAAGGGGAATTGTGCTGACCGGTGTGTTTTGCAGGGGATGGGAGGGGAGGGGAATCATACCTGCTCAGCTCTCCTCACTCTGCAGCTACAGCAGTCGCTGCTGCCAGCAACGCGTACTCAAGCTGCTGAAACTGGGGGACAGGCAGCAGCATGGGCTCCCCAGGTGCCACTCCTGGTGCCTCATTCATTCCCCACCTCCCTCCAGGCACAGGGCTGTTCCTTCCGGGGGCAAAGCCTCCTGTGGGGGTATCAGTCCACTCCTCTCCCCCCAAGATACATTATAGGGCATGGGACTATGCCTGCTGCCTGGGTCCTTCAGCCAGTGGCACAAGGCTGCCCCTGCCCTGGTAAAAACTTCTAGGGCCTCCCTCTAAGACAGTGCCCATGTATGATGATGCCCTGCTCACCCACCCCTAGTTATGCTACTGGTGACAGCAATTCAAAATAGCCTCTGCTTGCCCCCCTAATTTTTCCACATTTCACTCAATATCAAAGGTAGGTTACTTCAGACCTCCCTTCAGACTGTACAATGCCTGCCTTGGTGAAACCAGCCTCCTGAGTTTAATACAACATTGTCCCACTTGCACCAGCTCTTCCTCATGCATTATGTTCAAATGACAGGACCACCAATATAAACCAGAGCAAAACTCCCTATCTCCTGTGACAGTTTAAAGATGCTGAAAGGTGACTGATCTCTTTATCCTGAAACACAAAGCTAAAATGAATATAAACCCAAGCAGGTGGTGAATGCAGTCTTTTGCACTGTTTATGGTACCTCTGAATCTTTCCATCTTCATATTTGTTTTTAGTGATATTTTACTCACAAACTGCATTAAATTAGACATAAGGGCTGCTTGCAGACATTAACAAATACCCCCCAAAATAGCACTTTAAACTCCACACACTACCAAACCAAGCCCTGCACATGCACAGAAGAGGCAGTGAGTTAGCTGGACCTGGCTCTCCCAACATCTGTATAGATCAGGCACTTTAGTGGGGGGCTTTTTGGGCGCTTTTATCTAACAGCTGATTGACACAGCTTCAGATAAAAGCGCCAAAAAGCCCTGCTGAAGTGCCTGCTCTATACAGATGCTGCAGAGCCAGGCTGAAGTAACGCGCTGCTTCTTCCAGTAAAGCATGGGGGGTGGTGTTAATGTCTGCAAGCAGTCAAGGTTCTTCCCTCGATAACATTCCTTGGGAAATCCAAGCTTACTAAGAATTCCTAATAAGGCATCTACTACTTTACCTGCTACCACAGATAACAAGACAACTGCTTCTCAATAGCAGGTAGCAAAATGGACTGCAGTAAGAATATATTTCCTTCCTGCT